TTCCATGGGATCCTAACCCCTTGCATTTATTTTTATGATTCTATTAATCTTCTTGAGACCTGATTGACTAACAAAGTCTTATTAAACTATTTTTCTCTGATTTTATATTTTTTACCTGTTGGAACATATTTCAGGGAATAATGGTCAATTTCTAAGAAACCAATCAGCCAACCACATCAGTGACTTATTAAAAGGCAAATGATGCTGGCTCTGAAGGAATGAACTAGTGAGAAATTTGGGGAAAACATTCCATTTTCCAGTGTTATGCATGACTGAGAACACAATCATGCCTTGTGGATTTGTATATAAACACAAAGTTTGCAGTTTGTTTTCTCCAATTACTAAACATGGAATCTAGCAAAAACACATTTTATGATAGACAAAAAATGTATAACAAGTAAAAATAGTAAATATGCCACAGATGATAAACTATATCATGCAATATTAAAATATAAAAAATTAAAATAGTCTTGAAATATACTGTGAAATATTGTCTGACTCCTGCAAAAATTTTCACAGTAACAATACAGAGCTGGTTTTCAAAATATAAATTATCTACTATAAAACCAGGAAAAAAAAAACCCAAATATTTTGTCTAGCAAATTGTAATTCAATTATGGCAATTATAACAAGTATATTTAAAAGTGTTTGGAACCCTTTAGCCTAAACAAAACTTTCTGGAGTTTGTGGTTTGCTCAACTCACAACACAGATACGATTATGGTGCAGTATGTTTAAAGTTCACAAACTTCAATCATCTAAAGCACATAACAAAGAATTGTTACTACCTAAAAACTTGCCTTCTATCTTAAGAATCCATAAATTCTTCTTATGGCCCCGATGACACCAAACTTCCCTTTTATTTCTCTTACTAAAAACTAATCAACAAGATGACAATTTGCTGCCAGTTTCCTGTGGCTGCAGACTTATTGCAGTAATTCTAGCAGCCTCTTCCCTCAAATAGTAACATACCATCAATGAGCAAAGGCACAAATATAGCCCTACCCCAGCTGTCCTTCAGCTTTATGCTACTTAAATGTCTCCAGAGAGAATGTCATATGCTGAAAACTTGCTTTGAAAGTTCTCAGGCATTCCCAGGCTTGAAGTACTTTAAACTATTATACAACTCCCCCTTAAAAATAGAGAACCTCTTTGTTCTCTGAACTGTTATTAAAGTAATCTGAGACGTCTTGTCACTGAATCTAGACATATTTCTAAGATTACAGTTCAAGAGCAAGCAAAAATCTCTTACCTTACATTAGGAACCTAGATTTTGCCAAACAAATTCAGATACACAAACACAAACAGTAGCACTGAACCAGCTAATGTTAAATATGGTATGTTAAATTCTTTATTCTTTATTGAGTTTAGTGGACAGCAAGATCAGATTCTAGAAAATATTATGGTTCAGGCAAGCAATGTGTCATCATCATCCTGTAGTAGAAGCCTGCATTGACTGCATTTAATAGGAGGGAGCTGATGTGAGAAAACAACCACATAATGTTAACAAGGTAGAGATCTGGATGCAGTGGCCAAAGAGAATCCTAGATGACAGGAGATGTCTATCTTTACAGCCATTGAGATCCTGACATCATCTTCTGCCTGATCTGCTGTTGAGTACTTGGGGTTGGACTGTAGTTTATCTGAAACCTCCCGTCAGGCCTGTTCACCATGGGTGACCCTGCCAAAAGTGCAAGACCTAGCTCTGAGGAACAATGGGACATACAAGCTGCTCCATCTCTACAAGATCTGGGTTCATGGTATTAAATATGTTTATTTATATTAATATCAATATATGCACCTTGCAAATACCTGGAAGCTGAAAATAGCAGAGAAAATGGCTAAATGCAGAGAAAATGGCTGACTAGATAAGTGAAATGTCTTATCAAGAGAAAATGACTTTGCACTGATTAGTCCCATTAAAAGACATTGCATAAATCATAATAATAATAACAATAGAGATTACAATAGCATTTTTAGGTAATGTCCAGTCAACAACACTGACATCTTAACTCAAACCCTGGCACTGATCTGCTTGCAAAGAAGCCATGAGCAAGCATTAATCACAGAAACTGAATGTATTTAAGAACATTGCAGATAACTTGCAGTTGGACAAACTGGTGAAATTCCTTCACTATTCATCCATCTCAGTGTCTGTATGAATCTTGAACAGCTGGAAGGGCCAGTGTAGTTATAACAACTTTGACAAGCTGTATTCTGTTTCACTGGACAAAGGGGAAAAGGTTCTGCTTCTTTCTTTTCCTGCTTTGATTTTTATTTCTTCCTCCCTTCAGCTTGTTTTCCTCTAAATGATAAGTTGTGGATGCAGTGACTTTTCTAGTGACCTCATGAGTGTCTCTAGCACTTGGGTGCCCATTTTAAATGGATTATGAAGATGAAAAGAATGAGCAGAACTTCAAATGGTGCAGAGCTGCCTGAGTCTTTGAAGTAGTAAACAAGGACAGTAGGTCTCACAGAGGTATATTCCTTTCATTTATGTCAATGGGGTTTTAATACTGAACATTAAAGAGGGCAGTATAAATATCATCACTGTTAACCTCTTCCGTACTAATTCCGTCAATAACATCTAGATGCTCTGGGATGGCAGACACTCTTTTTCTCATTCTGAGCACCATCCACATCACCTTTCACCCCAAAGCTGTCATTTCTAGCAGCCCCATCCCAGTAAGACCAGACTGGTGTATTTAAATACAGAAAAAGCAGCACCAAGTTCTGGCTGAATGACAAATATCATCTGTATGTTTTGCAGCAGTCTTCCATCCATCAGATAAACCTGCCAAACGATATGCTTTACAAAAGCCTTACAAAGGTGCGATAGACCATACCATAACTGCTGCCTACCAGCCTATTCATTCCATAAACACACAAGGCAAGGCCTAGACACACAGATAGCCCAACTCTTCATGTTTTAGGGATGACTCCATGGGATCAGTTATCTTGCAAGGTGATACCCTGCAGCAAAGGTGCATGCTTCACCTTCCCTGCCAGCAAAGGGAAGAAGGGACTGATTGAAACATAGAAGGGTTGGAAGCTGAACCAAGAAAAGGGCTAAAGACTACCGAGGAGCAGAACAGGCAATGAGAGAAAGCTATTCCCAGGAACAGTTTGGAGAGGAAGTTTTGGTTCTGTTTGCTTTTTGGACACTGATACCAGCAGGGGTGAATTTCTGCACCTCAGTGCCCTAACTGCTGAAGGACCCTGGGGTGGGCTGAGGAGAAGGCAGGAAGATGAGGGACAGCAGGATGGCCATGCTTCAGTCATTTGTATTAGAAGCAGTAGTGGATGCATGCATTCTCAGTAAATGTTCCAGTCACATAACTCCCCTCAACATAAAAGTGAAGGGCACTCATCCCTCTCTATTTCCTACATGGATTATTTGTGCTCAAGCAATTCCTCAGGGGCTGCAGATGCTTGCTGTGCTCCCATGCTCTGCTTCTGAATTAAACCTAGAACTAACCATGTTTAACAAAGTGGACAGAGGCAGGTCCCTGTGTTGGTCTCAGCAGCAGCAGCATAACTAGCACATGGTGACTGGGGCCACTGGCCCAGGTGTCAGCACAGTGGCAGGAAAAGGGCAGAAAAATAACACTGCCCAACACAGCTGCACAACAGCACCGGTGGCATGGCAGCCACCAGACACTGCCAATGCCCCTGTGCAACCTGCTGTCCCTGGGTGCCCGGCTGCCCCCTCACACCTCTGGGTGTCAGATCAAGTGCAAGGCTGGGCGAAGGGCAACTGGGGCAGCCCATGACTCTGAACCAGCGAGAGAGGGAGAGAGAGTGTGTGGGGAAAGGGTAATTGAAGTGCTCTGTGTGGTGTGTCTAGAGGGGAGGTGCAGTGCTCTGTGTGTGTGTGTCTAGAGATTTGTAGTGGTGTGTGTGGAGGGGAGGGTGGTTCTAGTGTTGTGCGTGAGTGTGTAGAAGGAGGTTGTAGCAGGGGGGGTGGAGGTAGGGGTTATAGTGCTGTGCGTGGAGGGGTGTTTGTAGAGGGGGTTGTAGTGGTGGGAGTGTGGGTGGAGGTGTAGTGCTGCGTATGTGTGTGGAGGGGGTTGTAGTGGTAGGTGTGTGGGTGGAGGTGTAGTGCTGTGTGTGTGTATGGGGGGGGTTGTAGTGGTGGGTGTGGGTGGAGGTGTAGTGCTGTGTGTGTGTGTGGAGGGGGGTTGTAGTGGTGGGTGTGTGTGGAGGG